CTTTAACTTTCTATGAAAAATTCATCACTAAGTCCACATACCTCCTTATTAGCCCTAGGTCAAATCCGAGCAAAAATTTAGATGGTAGGCTAGGAATTCACGTTTTAAACTATATTTTGCACTCTAACTACTGTACTTTGATTGTATTTGAGTCTAATTGCTAGTACTTTTTACTTATTACGTATTTTATGCCTTGTCGGAGATGATTCCGAGTTAAGAAGATATTTTGGAGCTAAATTGAATGATTTGGAGCTTTGAAGTCTGAGTAGAAGCCCAAGGAATTAAACCGGGATCATGTTCAGGGGTCGAGAACCAATTTGGGATGTTAAAAAGTGATAAAATCCGAAACTCTGAGAAAATTACACTACCGTACCGCAGGGCACGACGCGCCAGTGTATATTTGCTGTCCAATTTTTCCACTTCGACTTGGAAATGGTAGTTTCATCCGGGCCCATTTTTATATGGTATAAATACACCAAAAATATGATTTTTAGAGAACTTTTGACCTACTGAAAATTGGAAGAACATTGGAGACTCTAAGGCACAAGGATTCATCATTCTTTCCTCAACTCAATAACCGAGTTTGGATTGAATTCATATTTTCTTATTCAACTTTATTTGTGATGACTTTTTCCATGATTATGGAGTAGTTTACTTTAGGGTTTGATGGATATGGTGCTTTAATTGATATTTGTGGATTTTAACTCTAGTTATTTGCATGAATTCATTTAGAGAACTTTGAATTGATTGCAATCTTGTTCACCGGATTATTTAATTGAAAGAGGAATATTTTGGGTGATTATCTTTGCACTATTTTGTTCTGTTTACTTTAGGAATTCTTCTAAGTAATCAAAAGAGCTTTTCGAATGGTTGACTAAACTAAGTTAGGATAATATTCGAGAGACATTTTCCTAAAGACCAGTCCATTAACGTGTTCTTGCATACCTTCACAGTGCTTTATGTTCGTTTACCTTGTAGAGTTCGGATTTAATCGAGAGATGAGAGTTGACTATACGATTGAACTAATCATCGAGTGAATTCGTGAGAATCATTACATTAGCAGTGAATTTAACTAGAGTTAGATCCCGAATAGCTATCTTGCACCTATCATGTCGTGACCTTATTTCTCCCATTGATTATTTCTAGGTTGCTCAACTATTGCCTTTCCGTGTCAATTATTATGTGCTTTAGTTTTAATATTTTATTTGAGTTCAGTAATTATTCCAATCAAAATATTAATCATCCTGAATAGAGTTTAATCTAGAAATTACAAGAACATTGTTTAAATCAAATCCCCGTGAAGACAATAATTTTACTATAGTATCTTTGACTAGCGAGCATAAATTTTCTTGTGTGTTTTGCGCTCGTCAAATTTTGGCGCCGTTGCTGGGAATTGGCAATCAATAGTATTCAAAATAATTTTTGGTGCTAATTCAGGAACCAATTTTATTTTTAATTTTTTGTATTCATATTTTCTCATATGTGTGCAAGCAACAAGTTAAATTCGGCAGTGTATGACTCGATCCACCTCCAAGGAATTGGTGCCATACGATCCAGAATTGGATAAGCACCTGTGGCAATTAAGAAAGGATAAAGAATCGAGCGGATCATTCTTGGTGCAGACTCCGACTCAAGAAAAGATGGTGCACCACGAAGATGAGGCGGTGGACTTAGCTGCAAGAGAAGTAGCATAATAGAGAGAATTAGTTGCACAGGTAGCGGCTGAAGCAGCCCTTAGAGTTGGTGATGAGACTGTCAAATGGGATGGGGGTCGAAGATTCAATCTGAATCGACCCCTGGTTGTAGACGAGTTTGAAAATGCTGTAAGAACTCTTATTATATTAGCATTGAGGCAAATCTGGCCTTTTTGTTATGAGAAAGTCTAATTCATGATCTGTATAGCGACTCCATAATTTTAAATTAATATTTGAACTCATTATGACTCCCCCATTGTATAAAACGGACAAAGCTTCAGCATACAGTGCAATATATTCCTATAGCCAAGGTATCTATAACAAAATAGTAGTATATATTTAATTCTGACTGGTACAAAACTATATGTATACGGTCAAAATCATATGACCCCGATGTAGAAGCTCGAGGTTCCGCCTTAGGCCCGAGTCCCGGAGAAGGAAAGTTCGAAACCGGTGGACGAGACTCACACTCGAAGACGAAGTGCAATGCACGGAAACAGGAGTTCGAGGAATACCGACGTCAAGTGTTCTCAACCTTGAAATAGTACCGTTATGGATTTGTACCAAAGCTAGCTAGATTCTTGCAACGTCCCCAAAGTCATGGTGCAAATCACGGAATAAGATTGTACAATTCCGTACTAGACGATTGGATAGTTGTACGAAGAATATTCCTTACTGTAAATAGAAATATTCCTTATTTAGGGTTCCCCCATTATATAAGGAGGGATCCCAATCATTTGTAATGCATCTTTTTCACTGAACAAAGAATATACTCTCTACTTTTTGCATGTTGTTTATCAGAATTGTCCCTTAGCTTAATTGTTCCTACTTTGATCTTCAATTTTTATTGTTCTCATTGCCTTAAGCCACCTCTAGGCCACCTTCTCGAGGTTACTACTGCTAATTCACATTGATTTGATTCACTTTTATCTTTCATTTTGACTTCATATTTTCTGATTATTAATTGGTATTGAACTAAATCACATATCTTTAAAACCACAAATCAAGTTTAATTGTTACTCATATTTTCGAGTGAACAGTTTGGCGCCCACCGTGGGACTAAAGATAATAGTGATTATTTCTTTACTGATTCTCGTTACACACGTTATCTTTACACTTTTTCTTGTCAAGATTTTTTGATTCTCACGCTTGAACATGTCTAGCACACAAAATGCACCTGCTCATGACAGTGAGGGTCTTGGAGAAAATAGAGGTATAGGGGTCGGTGTACCACCCAAAAACCTTGAGGGAGTGCCGAATATAGAGCCAGTTGATATCAGTTCGCATAATGCTCTAAACACGGATGCAGGTACAGACCCCGTAGGAAATGCACGCAGCGAAGCCCGGCCAGGGGACCAAGGAAAGCCAGGAGTAGGATATGGGGGAGTGAGTCTCCAAGTAATATTCGAGATGCTGCAGGCTCAACAAATTGCGATCGCTCAACTCCAAAGTCAAAATAAAACCCCGAGCATAGCTGAACATGAAAACAATCGGTGTGCTGAGCCGACGCCAGAAAGGTCTAATGAAAATGGATCGGGGACTGACCCCACAATTATGGAAGTGCTCGAAGAGCTCACTAAGAGGATCGAGTCCGGAGAAAAGAAAATTGAAGACAATGATAAGAAGGTGGAGACTTATAACTTCCATGTAGACCAGATACCGGGGGCACCTCCTGTTTTGAAAGGTCTAGATGCTAAGAAGTTCATACAAAAACAGTTCCCTCAAAGCGCCGCACCGATGCCCATCCCAAAGAAATTTCGCATGCCCGACATACCCAAGTATAACGGGACAACCGACCCCAACGAGCATATCACTTCGTACACTTGTGGAATCAAAGGGAATGATCTGAATGATGATGAAATCGAGTCAGTGCTGTTGAAAAAGTTCGGGGAAACACTCTCAAAAGGAGCAATGATTTGGTACCACAACCTAGCTCCTAACTCTATTGATTCATTTGCTAAGTTAGAATATGCCTTTGTTAAAGCCCACGCCGGGGCCATAAAGGTGGACACGAGGAAATCAGATGTCTTCAAAATAAAACAAAGGAACGACGAAATGCTAAGGGAGTTCATGTCAAGGTTTCAGATTGAAAGAATGGAACTACCACCGGTCTCCGACGACTTGGCAGTACAAGCCTTTATGCTAGGTTTGAACGAGCGAAGCTCGATTACTTCTCGCCAACTAAAGCAGAACTTGATCGAATATCCAGCTGTGACATGGTCGGATGTGCATAACCATTACCAATCAAAAATCAAGGTTGAGGACGACCAAATAGGAGCCCCATCGGGTTCGGTTCATCCTAACAGGTTTATGGCCAAGCCCCCGAGGGATACGAACAGGGAATCAAGATCGAACAAGGAAAGGTATCAACCATATATCGATCGAAGGAACCAAGGTTCAGGTCGAAATACTCCCTAGAACGATCGGAGAAATGATCGTGGCCGAAGCTCTGGGGGACTCATGGGCAAAAACGAGTTCGATAAGCATGCCGATCCCACAGAGTCACCACGGTTATCGGAGTACAACTTTAGCGTGGATGCATCAGGAATTGTGTTGGCTATTGGAAAAATCAAATACACCAAGTGGACCAAGCCCATGCAAACCGATCCTTCCTAAAGAAACCCGAGCCTGATGTGCAAATATCATGGTACACATGGCCATAGAACAGACGATTGCCGGCAACTAAGGGAAGAGGTGGATCGATTGTTCAAAGAAGGCCACCTTCGAGAATTTCTAAGTGATCGAGCTAAGAATCACTTCAGGGAGAGAGACGCAAGGAAAAATGAGAAAGAAGAACCACAACACGTAATCCACATGATCATTGTCGGAGTCGATGTCCCTCAACGACCTATATTCAAGCTCACCAAAATATCAATCACAAGAGAGAAACGGACTCGGAGCTATGCGCTTGAGGATGCCCTATCATTCTGCGACGAGAAAGAAGAGGACGTATCCCAGCCTCATAACGATGCCCTGGTAATCTCTATCCTTTTAAATAAAATTTAAGTTAAGCGTGTTTTAGTGGATCCAGGTAGCTCGGCGAACATAATCAGATCGAGGGTCGTGGAACAACTTGGCCTGCAAGATCATATCGTACCTGCAACCCAAGTTCTGAATGGCTTCAACATGGCAAGCGAAACAACCAAAGGAGAGATTGTCTTGCCAATAAACGTAGTCAGAACCATACAAGACACCAGGTTCCATATCATCGAAGGTGACATGAGGTATAACGCACTCCTCGGGAGACCATGGATTCACAACATAAGGGCAGTGCCTTCAACTCTCCACCAGATGATGAAATTCCTGATGGAGGAAGAGGTGAAAACGGTTCACAGAGAACAACATGCTGCAAAAGAAATGTTTGCAACCGAGGAAGTAATGTCGATACCAGAGCCCTTGGCCTCGGATAAATCGAGCTCCAAAGGTAAACAGGCGGCCAAGTAGCAATCACAGCTCCAAGCCTCGACGAAAGCGGAGTAACAGGTAACCGAAGGCGAAGAAAGAAACTTCTTTGCTCTCCGAACCTTCATTGTTCCCTTGGAGTTCGATGCTATTAAGTCAACCGATCAAGAGAAAGGTACACCTGGGATCGGGATTAATTCCCGAACTCAGGGAAAAACTCATTTAGTTTCTTATTGACAATATGAATTGCATTGCTCGGTCCCATTTGGATATGACAGGGATTCCGCCGGAAATCACCACACACAAGCTGAGCATCGATCCCAGGTTTAAACCAGTAATGCAAAAAAGGAGGCTTCAGACCAAAAAGCTATGTACCAACGTCCAGCTGACAGGATGTTCGAAGAACAAATAGGTAAAACAACAAAAACCGATGTTAATGATATGACTTGTTAAGTCCCTGTGCGTAGAGGACCATTTTTATTCATTTGCAGGAAACAGTCAACGTTTTGAAGCAATGCGACACGAAGCTCAACCCAGAAAAATGTGCCTTCGAAGTCGGCTCGGGTAAGTTTCTCTACCTCATGGTGTCGAATCGGAGTATCAAAATCATCCCCGATCATGTCGAGGCTTCAAAGATATCACGATCACAAGATAAGACCGTATCGAGCCCTGAGTTGTTGGTAGAGGATCTTACAAGCTCGGCACAATTGAAGCTCTCAAAGGCGCGCGATCTCGAAGACACCCTTTTTACACGAAGACCTTAGGTTTTAAAGCATTTGTTGCATTCTTTTTCCCTTGGCTAAGATTTTGTCCAAATGGGTTTTACCAGCAAGGTTTTTAACGAACCAACAACTATGTGCTACCTAAGGAGAACTCAATAGTATCCAAAGTTTCTTTTTAATCAACCTCGAATACTGGGGGGCATCACACTCGGAGATTATATTTTCAAGGAAAATACTTCACGCCTAAGAGGACCTCGATAGGAAAACTTTGTAATGGGCCAAACGGTCAGATGAACCGTGTCCATATAGCAATCAAGCCCCGACAAGCAAAGCATATACGCATGTATCAATTATTTGAAGAAGCGTTCTGTTAATATCATAAACACTTTGTGCCTCAAAGAAGTCCACTGTTACATGAACTATACACTCATAGTCCTACGGACAACGGCTCAAGATCCAAAGCATAAAAGCACCCTCGAACACTCGAGGACTGTCATCGACAGTCAGTATATCCGAATCATCGAAAACTCGGACTTATGAGACCTCAAAGAGGCACCCCCTCGAAATAAAGGCCAAGGTCAATGTACCCGGGGGCTAACTTTTCGAACAAGTTCGGAAAGTTATCGGGAAACAAGTCCAAATGACATACCCGAAGGCTATGGTCATACTAAAAACTACTGTCATATAAAGGCTACGGCCAAAATAATGCAGCTCAGAGATGTCCGACTTCCGCTATAAATTTTAGGCCTTCAAAAATCAAAAAATCGGTTAAATCAGGCTATCCTCGGTAAAATCAAAATATGAAGGGCTTCGATAAATTCAGCCCCCGAAAAATCTAAGGACCTCGATAAATTTAGCCCTCAAAAAATCCAAGGGCTTTGATAACATCGGCCTTCGGAAATACCTCAAGAGGTATTCAATTATGTTTACACAAATATATTACCAATAAGGTTCTGATATCTAACCTTCGAAAAAACCTACGGGTACAAAAAACACATGCTAAGGCATAATTAAATTTTGGCCAAATACATACGTAGCCCCTTAAAGTTGTTAGGAAATTTTACTTAGACACTTCAATTAGAATTGTTACCTATTAGACACTTAAAGGTCGTGTAATTGAATTCAGTGTTGATCAGCATGGGAGTCGGTTTATACTGCAGAAATTGGAAAATTGTAGTATTGAAGAGAAGGCATCTGTTTTCAAAGAAATTCTTCCACATGCTTCAAAACTAATGACAGATGTGTTTAGGAATTATGTCCTTCAAAAGTTCTTTGAGCATGGAAGTTGAGCAATGAAAGATGTTGGCATGTCAATTAAAAGGACATATGTTGCCTTTAAGTTTGCAAATGTATGGCTGTCGTGTTATTCAAAAGGCCCTAGAAGTTATCGATCTTAATAAGAAAATAGAACTTGTCCATGAACTCAATGGGCATGTACTGAGGTGTGTGCGAGATCAAAATGGAACCATGTAATCCAAAAATGCATTGAGTGCATACCTACCGAAAAAATTAGTCTTATTATCTCCTCATTCCAAAGCCAAGTAGCTATATTGTCTACTCATCCCTATGGTTGCTGTGTAATCCAGAGAGTATTGGAACGTTATTCAGAAAATCCTCAAAGTCAGTGTATAGTGCATGAAATCTTTGATTCTGCTTATGCTCTTGCTCAAGATCAGAATGGGAACTATGTCACCCAGGTTTGTATCTTTTTCCAGGTGATATGCAATAATTTTTTTTCTCATCCTCAAGTTCCGTAACTTCATGTTCTTTATATGCAACTATTTATTTTCCAACCCTAACAAAAAGCACAGAAACCAAAAGAAAGGTTAATTTGCATGTTGTGACTAAGGGCATTATCATCTTATACTGGCTTATTTAAGGTGTTTTGTAAATTCTTTTCTATTTATGGCTGGCTAAAAGGAGAGATCACTAAAGTCATTTGTATCAATACACTACCTTAGTTCTTGTTATCAAAAACATTATTGACAAATATGGAGATTTTAATAGTTAATTCAAAATTCTAAAATATTACACAAACTTCTATAGTTGGAAACTTGAAAAATTGAAATAATAACTTAATTCTTGCAAAGTATATTTGTTACATCGTAATATCATGATAATGCAATGAAATAATGAAGTCATTTTGTTTAATTGAAAAGGTCAATTAATGAACACAAGAAAATAATGAAATTGTTAGCATTTAATTGTGACCTTTAAACAAAGATGGAGTTTTCTTGTGGCAAATAATTTTGTATTAAATAAAATGATCAAATAATGAATACAAAAAAATACTGAAGTTTGTTGATAATTAATTGTAATTAAAATTGTAGGGTAGAAAAGTCGATTAATGCCTACCTTGTTGGTTCTAGTTTTTCCTTCTTCGCGTGCATTCAATCTATTCTCTTTTTTCTCATTATTGCAATCTCATTTTTCAAATTTAACTCAATATATTTGAATGAACCGTTTCTATTTCTCAAAAAGTTTGAAGAGTAAACTATAAATAAAAATATACATAAATTCTATTAAATGTTTGTAATATCTTTTAGAATTTTGGCTTTGGGCCATTGATTTTATTGACTAACATGTTCCTATCAATTAGACATCAATGTCATTTGATAAGAACTAAAATATAAAATCATCCTTCCCCTTGGTTTTCTTGGGTGTCTGTGCTACTATTGTTGCCTACTATTGTTGTGTGCATGCACCCATGACCCAATTGTCCCCTCCTTCCCCCCTACCTAAAAAAAAGGGAAGACCGAAAAATAAATGACTCTAAACGATGTGCTAGAAATAATTTGTTTTTGGGACAGGGATGGACTGAGGGGAGCATGTAGTATTATCATAAGAATTTTGTGCAATTGTTGTGTGAAACTCAATTTGTCGTTGCAGCATGTGTTTGGAGAGGGGAAAACCGCATGAAAGAAGTCGAATTATTGAAAAGTTGACAGTAAATGTTGTACAATTAAGTCAACACAAATATGCCTCAAATGTTGTTGAAAAATGTCTGGAATATGGTGATTCTGCTGAGAGGGAGCTTTTGATTGAGGAGATACTTGCAGATTCAGAAGCAAATGACAATTTGCTGTCGATGATGAAGGACCAATTTGCGAATTATGTGGTCCAGAAGATTCTTGAGATTAGCAACGATAAGCATCGGGACATTCTGCTCAGTCGAATCAGAGTTCATCTTCGTGCTTTGAAGAAATACACCTACGGAAAACACATAGTGGCTCGATTTGAACAGCTCTCTGATGAAGGTGTGTAGAGTTTAAGTGTCTGCTTTATTTGCACAGTTGCAAGTTGTTATTATTTGATGCAGCTGTTGTGTTTGATTATCTATGACATGTTTTGAAGAATTTTAGTGTTCTGATCTATGAATACATGTTTGCACATTCTACCCAAAAAAAAAAAAAAAATATAAACAATGTTGCTATTGAACACCTCATGCATATGTGACACAAGGAATGATTCTCACTTTGATCTAGGCGCGTGAATCACTGAATCTTTTTCTCTCTTCTCCTAGTTATTCTTCAACAAAACCCAGCTATCATCTTCTTCCTTTCATGACCACTCTACTACTTCAGAGAGAACTAATAGAGAAATAGACAACGAATAGAAATAATAGAGAAAGTGTTGTAATATTTTCCAAAAAATGAACAAGTGTTTAACCATGTGGCAACTTGCATGGAAAGTCATAAACAAGTATCAAGTGTTTAACCATGTGGCAAATTGCATGCAAAGTTACAAACAAGTGTCATACACTTGGCATGACCTAAGCCCCTCAATTAGCCTTTAAATCGGCCTACAAGTAGACATCATGGAGTAGCACATTCTTCACTTTGCTTCTTTCGTTTCTTTTCTTCCTCCTTAAAACATTTATAGTCTACTTTATTTTGTTCCCTCTTTTAAAATAGCTGAGTTTGTAATTTACTATTTTGCTGATTCCTGTATCCTCCTTAATAGAGGTAGGCTTGTTTAATCCTGGGGAAACATTTCACATTGCTGAAATAGTTTCTTAGGACAGTGCCTAGCACGACTCAAGCCAGTCCGTGTATCCGTTCACAAATAATATTATTGCAGTATTATTATTATTAGCTTTTCGGTGTCATTTCCCTACAATCTAAGAAACTATGGCAAGTAATACTACTACGGAACTTTTTGATGGTGCTACCAATTTTGGTGTTGTCTCTACTGCTACTGTTCCAGCTGTCCTGCCAGATATCCATGGTGTTGCAAATACGTTATTGCATCCACAACTTTGGCAGACACTAATTGTCACGACCCCAAAAACCCGGTCGTGATGGCGCCCAATAATATTGCTAGGCAAGCCTGACCACAATCGTTCTCAAATCAACCGTAAACCTCAAACCGACAATCTAAAGAGATTATAATGGTTTTGGAATAATAATCCAATATTTATAATAGAATAATACTGAGAAAAACACGAAAACTGATAAAACACTCCCAAAGACTTGGGGTCACGAGTCTAGAGCCTCTAAAACAATCTGAATAACAATATTTGAACGGAAATGCTCAAATCTGGAAATGTATATATAAATAAAACTGAAATAGGAAGAGTAGTCAGGTCCTGCGAACGTCAAGCAGCTACCTCAACAACTCTGATAAGCTTTGGGAAACAAGGACTGCTCAGCTAAGCCTCCGGTGTACCTGAATCTGCACACAAGGTGCAGGGAGTAGGGGTGAGTACTACCAACTCAGTGAGTAATAAGCATATAAAATGTCTGAAGATAAGAAATCCACGAAATGCCACAAAGTAAAGCTATAACTAACAGTCCAACACCTAACTACGAACTAACAGCAAAACAACTCCAAATATATCAGTCAAGTATAATGTAAAGATGCAATACAATGCACATGACCGCTACGGCGCGTAGCCCGATCCATTTAACGTCGACGGCGCTCACTGGGGGTGTGTATAGACTCCGGAGGGGCTCCTTCAGTCCAAGCGCAATATAATCATATCATTCGCTGCGGCGTGCAGCCCGATCCATACTCAGTCCACAATATGCATATGAGTCACGTAACAGATTCAATTATTTTCCCAATTTCCAATTTATTAAGGAGAATATACTTTAGATATTTAACTTCAAGAAAAGTGACTTAGCGTTTCATAACAATGATTAACACAGGACTGAGATCAATGATTATGCAAAGCATGCTATCACAATAACAATTATCCTCTAAGGATGCTACAGATCGGCACAAGGCCCCAAACACGGCAATAAGCCAAGATATATTCAATACAGGGTGCGTATTAGTCGCCAATATAGAAATATTCTTGTTCGGGATGGACTAAGTCTCAATCCCCAGTCATAACTAATCCCGCACCTGCCATGGGGTGCGAGTCACGCCCTACAATAGCGTCACAATGTGATAAGCCGGGGTTTCAAACCCTCAGGCCATCGTATACACCAACTACTCACCTCTAACCGGCCGTAGAATGGTCCGCAATGCCTTTTCCTTTCGTATCGACCTCCTCGCGCGTCTAATCTAGTCAAAATCACAACGAATACATAAATATGGGTTAAAGAAACATCACCCAATCAAAAATACTCGAAAAGTACTAAAATTCACGAAGTTGGTAAAACCCGAGCCCCGAGCCCACTTCTCGAAAAATTTCGAAAATCACACCAACAGATTCCTCGTCTCGCCACGAGTCCGTGCATATAAAGTTTACCAAAATCGGAGCTCGTTTGACCCTCCAAATTCCATTTTTACATCACAGCTTTCCAAGCCCTAGCTTGACCCGTTTTTGATGAATTTTCTACAGTTTACATGTAATTTCTACCATAAATTCGAATATTTAGGCCAAAGAACTTACCTCCAAGTGATTCTCAGTCAAAACCCTCGAATTTCCTTGTTCAAAGCTCTTAAGAACGTCAACAATGGAGGAAAAATATGAAAGGGTCGCGGATGAAATATTATTTTAAAACCCTTCTGTCGCCCAGCAATTTTCGCTTCTGCGGTCCCGCTTTCGCTTATGCGGGACCGCTTCTGCGGCCACATTTCCGCTTAAGCGGTTTTCACTTAGAAGCCCGGGCTTTGCTTATGCGACGCGAAGTCCGCTTCTGCGGTTCCTCCAAAGACCGCTTCTGCGGCACCTTGTCCGCTTATGCGGACCCGCTGGTGCGAGCCACCTTCCGCTTCTGCGGAATTTCCCTAGCCGGACAACGACCGCTTCTGCGACCAAGTACCCGCTTCTGCGGTACCGCTTCTGCGGTCCATTTCCGCAGAAGCGGAAACTCCAGATGACAGCAAAATCAGACCTGCAATTACACCTCAAAACTCTCGTTTAACCACCCGAATTCACCCCGAGGCCCTCGGGACCTCAACCAAATGCACAGATATGTTCTATTACTTCATTCAAACTTGCTCGTAACATAAAAACACTATCATAAACACCAAAATCATCGAATTACCACGGATTCAAGCCTAAGTTAAACTAAAACTTCCGAACTTGCATTTGATCTAAAACCCGACCTAAACACCTCCGAATGATCTGAAACTTTGCACGTATATCCAAAATCACCTAACGGAGCTACTGCAACTTTCGGAATTCCATTCCGACCCTCGGATCAAAATCTCACCTACCATCCGGAATTTGCCAAAATCCAACCTTAGCCAATTCAAGCCTGATTCTACACCGGACCTTCAAATTCAATTCTGATTGCGCTCCTAAGTCACAAATTATCCCCCGAAACTAGTCGAATCATCGGAAATCCATTCCGAGCCTTCTAACTCATAAGTCAACATTCGGTTGACTTTTCCAAACTAACTTCTCATAAAGAGACTTATTGTCTCATTTCCAACCGAACTCTATCCGAATTACTTCAAATTCTCCAAACACATATAATGAAACATATAGAATCATAAAATGGGGAAAACGGGGCGGTAACTCCCGTAACGACGGGTCGGATCGTTACATCCTCCCCAACTTAAACAAACGCTCGTCCTCGAGCGGGTCAAGAAACATACCTGGAGTCTCAAACAAGTGAGTATATCTGCTCCGCATCTCCTGCTCGGTCTCCCAAGTGGATTCCTCCACAGGCCGACCTCTCCACTGCACCTTCACCGAAGCTATGTCCTTAGATCTCAACTTTCAAACCTGACGACCCAAAATAGCCACCGGCTCCACATCATAGGTCAAGTCCTCATCCAACTGGATCGTGCTGAAGTCTAATACATGAGATGGGTCCCCAACATACTTCCGGAGCATAGAAACATGGAACACCGGATGAACTCCCGACAAGCTAGGTGGCAAAGCAAGCATATAGGCCACCTCCCCAATCCTCCTAAGTATCTCAAAAGGTCCAATGAACCCTGGACTCAGCTTCCCTTTCTTTCCAAACCTCATAACGCCTTTCATAGGCGAAACCTTCAACAAGACCTTCTCGCCTACTGCATAAGATACATCTCGAACCTTCCGGTCCGCATAGCTCTTCTGGCGCGACTGAGCTGTACGAAGTCTCTCCTGGATCACTTTTACCTTCTCTAAGGCATCCTGCACTAACTCTGTCCCCAATAATCTAGCCTCGCTGGGCTCAAACCAACCAACCGGAGATCTACACCGTCTCCCATATAGGGCTTCATACGGCGCCATCTGAATGCTGGATTGATAGATGTTGTTATAAGCAAACTCTGCAAGTGGCAAGAATTCAGCCCAAGAACCTCCAAAATCAATAACACAGGCACGCAACATGTCCTCCAATATCTGGATAGTACGCTCGGACTGTCCGTCCGTCTGAGGATGAAATGCTGTGCTCAACTCTACCTGTGAACCCAACTCTCGCTGAAATGTTCTCCAGAACTGAGAAGTAAACTGGGTACCTCTATCTGATATAATAGAAACTGGGACCCCATGCAACCGCACAATCTCTCGGATGAAAATCTCTGCTAACCGCTCCGAAGAATAGGTAGTGCATACAGGAATGAAGTGTGCGGACTTGGTCAGCCTATCCACAATCACCCAAATCGAATCAAACTTCTTCGAGGTACGAGGAAGACCACTCACAAAATCCATAGTAATATTCTCCCATTTCCACTCCGGAATATCCATCCGCTGGAGTACACCGCCGGGTCTCTGGTGTTCATATTTGACCTGCTGACAGTTGAGACATCGAGCCACATAATTCACAATATCCTTTTTCATCCTTCTCCACCAGTAATGCTGTCTCAAATCCTGGTACATCTTCGCGGCACCCGGATGAATCGAATACCGCGAGCTGTGGGCCTCCTCTAATATCA